TGCATCATGAAAAAACAAGGATCAGCATAGTTGACTTTTTTTAAAAAAACTAATGTTTAGTTTGCAATTACACTTAGGTCTTTAGTTTTATGCAAGGTTTGTTTCCCACCCCTCAATTTTTTAAAATTCTAAAAACTGAAGAAATTGAGTATTTGCTTTTTCTTGTAACATTTCTAGAATGCTAGTTTATCCAGTGAAATTGATTGACAGTAGATACAAGACTATCAGATGGAATTTCAGTATCACAAGAAGTCTTATCTTTAGAGTGGTATATACTGTTCACCTTCCTTTTCTTAAGCTTGCAGACCACAGAGTTACGGGTATTACATTACATCATGCCTTCATGTATTGTACGAGGTTTCACCTGACTTACTTACTAACACAAGAAGTAGTCAGAATAATTAGCAGAAATAAAGGATTGTTCAAATATACGGAGGCATACTTCTCAATATGCATTAGCCATAATAGCTAATACTGTAGAACTTCCATGCATCAGGTACTGCATACTGGAAATCAGATCACATGCATCTTGATCTAATCCAATCTTGGTTTCTAATTACTGTGCAACCAGTTTACAGAAAGAGAGAGAAATAATGAGAGAATTCCAATCAGGCAATCTTTCCTTCTTGCTGTGCAGATTTTTGCTTAACTGTAAAAGGATGAAGCAAAGGGCTATGTACAATGTAAACCTAGAAAACTGAGTATAAACTGAAGTTGACTCATCTTAAAAAGTGCTTCCATACAATTTTCTGGACAGGTTCTCTGTGCTTCAGTTTGTTGATGGTTAGAGTAGCAAGTGTGCTGTCCTCCAAGGATTTCTGCTTTATGGTATGTGTGGTCCCAATGGTGATGTATTATAAGCAGATTTTTAAATATATGTATTTACATTAGCCCTTCTCAGCCACTGGCCTAAATAACAGTTTTCAAATTTTGTGGCTCATTTTTATCCTAAACATTGCCTATTGTTTGGGATTTGTTTAAATAAGAAGAATTTAATTTTTTTAAAAAAAGTGGAATACAACAAGAGACACATTGGCACCAGTGTAATATAGTTTATAGGATAGTTACACTTGGTTAAACATTTATTTGATTCATGTACTAATTCAGCCGTGAAGCCTATTGGATGGCTTTGGTTTGTGCTTTAGTCTAGTGCTTTTTACATGGCTATTGCACTATGAAGATTTGGAAACGAAACAACAATAGCAGTGGATCATGGGGGTGGGGGGGCGGGGAGAAAGTGGAACAGGCAGAAGAGAATACCTCGGTGGTACCTCGGGATACGAACTTAATCCGTTCCGTGACTCTGGGCGTATCCCGAGTTGGTCGTAACCCGA